CACACAGTCGCGACCATGTGATTTGAAGGTAGCCGATGTATAAAGTTCCTACATATATTTGTAATCGATAAAGAGTGATTTGTATACAGCATGCTATAAAATACAACTCTGATTATACATTCAAACTTTATTCTCGTTCGTGATTGGGTCAACAAGCCCCGAATAATTAACAATTATACCATAAGCTCGAGTCGTCTATATGAGCTGATAGCTATCGCCATATGCGACGTCAGCGAATGATATAATTGTTTTATAATATGGTCTGATTGATGGCCATGAACTGCAGCAGCAATATACTCTTCTCCGTTGCAATGTTTTGACACTTTGTTTAGGCAAGGTCCGCGTTTTTAAATTGGTCTGAAAGTTTGAAAGGTTTTTCTTTTAAAATTCGTGGTGAAGTAAATGGTTATTGCTCACAGAAAAGCGGAGATATTTTATACAGATGTTTGGTATAGTGTAATAAGCACTCGTTGACTGCAAATTAATTTGTTTTTCCTTACGACTTTTTCTGAACAATTTATATTCTCAGTGAACAGGTGGTTTTTTCGCTGTTGTGTCGGTATTAATTCTTTAAAAAAACTTGTATTTCAGTCTTCAGTTTCTATGTAATACATTTTTGACTTTTTTCTTGTACTTTCAGCGAATATTTCCCCTTTTTTTTTCTACTTCGCAAAACTCTTGTAGATTTTGTTCCGCCATCTTGTTTTTCGCCCTCGCCGTATATGAGCTGATATACGGCGAGTAGCTCCAATCAGATTGTGGAATAGCTCATATATAGTGAATGACTATATTATAACAAGAATTATTTACACCTCAGTCAATGTTGTCCGCCTCGGCTTCTTTTGGGCAGATAACGTTGACCTCGGTCTGAATAATTGCCCAGTTTCCTCCAATAATTGTTTGCTATTCGTTATATGTTGTAAAAGTATTATATATTGCTGAAGATGATGATGCGAAATTGAGTTTGAAATATACAGTTTAATTCAATTGTGTATTGTGATTATGCACACCTTTTTCTGAATAACTTTCATTTTATACTTGCTGAAACTATCAGCCTGTGGTCAGATTTGCGTGATTTTCTTCCAGACCGTAATGAATAGGTGTATCCTGTAAAAACTCGAGACATGGATGGTGTTTCTTTTAGGGGCCGATTACATGGAGAACTTTCAACCCCGGGGTTGAAAATGTTCCATGTAATCGGGCCCCTTAACTAATATTGATTTTCTGAACCCATATTTCTCAAACAAATTTCGCCTGACCCCCAACCAAGTTCGCTCGCAATATATACGCGGGGCTAACTGCAAATTAGTTGCGGCCACCTGCAAAAAAGTAAATATACAGGCATGTCCTTGAATAGTTTTTGAATAATACTCTCTGTTAATGGTATATTTTCTGCATTCATTGTTTCAGTAAATCAGTTGCAGAAGCGTGCCCGCAGCTTGTCACTACCTTCCGGCAGCAGTAGGCCGTCGAGTCCTGTGTCGAACACTCCCAGTCCCACTTCGTTTGGTTATCCGTTTCCTGGGAACGCTTTCAGTGCAAAGAAAAAGAAACCGACCAGTAATGCATTCGATATCAACAATATTGTCATCCCGTACTCCATGGCATCGACAACCAGAGTGGAGAAACTTCAATATAAGGAAATCCTGACGCCGGAATGGCGGGAAATGACTGTTACGCCGAAAGAACATAGCTCGGTAAGATATTAATACAACACAGCCCATAATTCTTTCCAAAAACAAAGTGCCGGAGTAGATTTACTGGGGGGGGGTCGTACCTCCGCTAGCCTTGGCACAAGGAGAGTCCATTTTTGGCAATTACAAAAAGGCAATTGCAAGAAAGAATTAAATAGACACAAAATGAGTTGGTAAGAAATTGTGAAATTGTCGAGAAAGACTACAGACTGGGGCCTAGCTGCCGTAGCTCCCTGTAATGATTACATAGTATTGTACTGCGGTTACTAATCATTGTGTGGTTTAGTAATGAACTTTAAGGACTAATTGGGGGTGGGCACAGGCAGCGGCGGCGGAACAGATTTCGTTCTGGGGGGGGCTAAATTTTTTCGGCGACCGAAAAATTTTCCGTCGCCAAAAAAATTTCGGTCAGTGTACCACTTTAGGGGTACGATATACAAAAAAAAGGGACGAAAAAAAAATTTTCGGACTTAATATCAAAAAAAATTTTCCGAAATACACTTTTTTTAAACAAAATATTGCAAATTTGTCCCCTTATACCTAAATTTTCAAAAAAATAACCTAAATTTTTCCCTAATTATCAAAATTTTTTCAAAAAATTCAAATTTTCTGGGGGGGGGGGGGGCTAAGCCCCCCACTTTTACTTCTGGGGGGGCTTTAGCCCCCCTAGCCCCCCCCTGTTCCGCCGCCCCTGGGCACAGGTGACAGATATGGTTATCGCGCCGGCTTCTACAGTACTTCATGATTCGTGTTACTGTAAATATCCAGCAATTGTGAGTTGGTCAGCTCAAGATACTGCTAGCATTATCTGCCGCATATACGCCCCCCCCCCCCCCCCCCCCCCCCC